TCGGCCGCGTCGTCTGTCGCCACGTCTCACAGCTCTGTGCTGTCAGCCGGTCCGCCTGCGATCGTGACGGACGCGGATACGCCCCCTGTCGGCCCCATGGCGTCGCCCACCCACACATCCGTCCCCTACTCGCTTCGCTCCCGGGTCATGGTGCTGCTGTGGCGTGACGGCTCCACCCTCATCTCCCACATGTGCCGCAGGAGCGTCGTGGCCGCACAGATGGTCATCGCCCGGCAGAAGCAGGAGCAGGCCGCTGAGGCGCTCCAGAGGATGGCGGCCCAGCCGGGAGCAGAGGATGCCGACAGCGACGAGTCAGAGCCCAGCAATTACGCAAGAGCCCTCTCGCCAGAGTTCCCGTCACCCACCGCAGCACCGCCCATGCAGAGGACCCCTCCACTCAGCTCGCGACTCCCCCCTCGTGTCGCGGAGACTCTGGAGGGGATTGATGAGGCTGTTCTGCCGCCCCTGAGTGCGTCTGCAAAGGACTGGTGCTTCGGCTGTCGCCATCACATGCCCCACCATCGCAGTACTTTCCACACGCATTCGGCAGGGGCGCTGGCGAGTAGTGGTTGTGTGGCTGCCGGGCGAGTTGGGGGCGTGCACCGGGCGCAGCGGCACTCATTCATGGGTGCGGTTGGGATTGCCGAGGAGGGGGAGTCTACGGAGTCTGAGGGCAACACCCCCAAGAGCGACAGCAAGAAGGCCGCCAAGCCCTCGGGCGGCTTCTCCACCTTCCTCAAGTCCCTCCAGAGCATGATGCTGCCCAAGCACATGCGGGTCGCGACCACCACCCCTCTGCACGACCAGCCCTCATCCCTGGGGTGGAGCCACATCGACAGGTCGGCATCCCTCTCACTCGACCCCACCACCTTCACCATCGACCGATCACCGGTGGCTGGGTCTGAGGGAGGGCAGAGGTGCGCCCTCCCGCGGCCGTCGAGCGCCCGACTCCTGGTGCCACAGCAGACCATCGGCGGGGGTATGGGGAGGGGGGCGGGGCCGCCCCGGCTGACGTCCCGTCCAACTGCTCCCCTGCTGCGTCGCAACAGCCAGTCCGAGGGAGACTTCGAGAGTGGTGGTGGGCCTCAGGCCCGGATGGATGAGGCCGTTGCCGACGGGATGGGGCTTGACGAGGACGGCAACTGCACGCTGCCTGCGTCCCAGGTCTTCCAGTGGACGATTGCGCTGCTGCTAAGGCCGCGGACGTTCTCGCATCCGCTGTTCAAGATCTATGGCTCGCCACCGCCCTGCAGCTCACATCACCTTGCCGCCACTGCCGACGACGAAAAGTCCCCCAAGAGCGGGCAACGGAGAGGGGTGCACTGCCATCACCATCACCACCACCACCACCATCGGAGGCAGCCACAGGGCGACTCCTCGCCCAGGGCAGCCGGGGGAGAGCAGCCGTCAGTCGTCAGGGAACCTCCTGCCGTTCACCACCTTGCGCCTCCCCGGCTGTTCCAGCCCGTTCCCGAGCCGTGTCACGTCAGCCGGTGCGCTAGCTGCATGTTCCACCAGGTGGGGCTGCGCAAAGGGGACAAGACGCCCCATTACTGCCGGGGTCTCTTCCCCCCAACGTCATGCGAGTACGTCCTGCTGCCCACACCGCCCGCTGAGCCATTCGGCCAGCAGCCGAGGAAGCCGCGGGGCAGTCCAATGATCAAGAGGGCCTCCAGGGAGCGGGAGCCGACATCAGCATCAGCAGCAACGCTTAAGGTCGAGAGGGTGGCGGAAAGTAGCAAGACCCTGCCCGGCCCCCCGGGGTCCCGTGAGTGGAGGCGAGCGCAGTCCTCTTCACCTCAAGCACGGCCGCTGGAGCCTCGGCCGCTAGCTGTCGTCATGCCCTCACCAGCAGCAAAGCACGCAGGTGAGATACTTGATGCTTTGCTGAATCGCTTTTGTATCTATCTACCCTATGTGCCGCGCGTTATGTCTGTCTGTCTGTCTGGCTGCCTGTTTGCAGCTGCCCCTTCGCCCATCCCGCTGCCCCCACGTCAGGTATCCCCTCTCCCCGGCGACCTGAGGGCCTCGCGGGATATCGATGTCACTGAGGTGCGGCCCATCAGCCTGCCCACAGCAGCTCCGCATTCCAGCGGTGGTGGTGCATCGTCCAGCCTGTCGCAGCCGGCGCCATCTTTTCCCTCCTCCCAGCGGCTGTCGTCTCACGAGAACTCCGACAGCGAGTCGTCGTCGAGCTCGTCTTCGGGGTCATCCGTGGTCCACTTCTTCCGCGTAGCCGTGTGTGGGCAGTGCTTCGCAGATGAGATACCCGCGGTACGTACGTACGTACGTACGGACAGGGTCGGGTCGACACACTCGCGCATGAGCAACGAGCACCTAGTGATCGAGCGTCTTTTCTGTTTGGATTGCACTGCAGGGTGGTGATTATGTGGAGCACTCGTCCGTGCCCTTGCCCGGCATAGACATGGAGGTCAGCGGTGCCCGCAAAGGTGTCGTGGGCGCGGGTGCACTCCTCGATTGGCTGGGCGTCACCCACCACCCGACCTGTCTGCTGTTCCATCCATCGAGGCCGCTGCTGCTGGTCGGCCAGGCCCTGGGGACGCTGCAGGTGTTTGACTACTCGAGCAGCCCCGCCGTGTGCCGCCGAGTGGTCAATGTCTTCGCCACACACAAGGGCTCCGCCCGCTCCGGGTGTCCCTGGCATCTGGAGCCTCAGGCGGGAGCACAGCAGACCGGTCCGCTCCGGTTGGCTCGGTCCTCGGCTCAGGGCCCCCCCTCACTGCTGACGTATGTGTCGCTCTACCCGCCGCGCATCCTCCAACGCTTGGGCGATGACATGCGCGCCGTCAGTGGGTCCCCTCAATCCATGAAGCAGCAGCGGTCGCCCTCCCTCATCCCCGCCGCCCTGACGCGCAGCTTCAGTGCGCAGCACACCGTCATGGCCGCGACTGCGTCGCCCTTGGCGGGGAGCTTCGTGTCGGCGACAGGGTCGCCGCCCGTGTATGGGTCTGTGGCGGGGACCAACCCGCCGCCAATGGGTCTGCCGCCCCAGGCGCAGATGGGGCCGGACGGCAGGCGGGACTCACTCGCCGAGCAGTTTGACGCGCTAAAGGGCGACAGGAGACAGCTCGGGATGAACAGCCAGGCGATGTTCGGTCCTGGGGAGTTGCCGGGCTACCCGGACTGGGGGAACCAGGGCGGCCTGGCTATCGGCCACCCCTACGGCTGTAAGACCTGCGGTGCGGCCCATCCGTCCTTCACCGACCTGGCGTTCGTCAACGAGCATGCCCATCTGCCCCCGCCGCAAGACGATATCGCCTGTCAAGTCATTGGCGGATTCGACGACGGCACCGTGCGGCTATGCCGGTTCTGGACGGACACCGCCAACCACCAGAAGCCCCTTGTGGTGGCCACCTGGCAGGCCCTCCCACCGAAGCGGCAGACGGGTCTTCGACTGTCGTTCCGGCAGCGATCTGGACGTCTGGTGGCTGGAGGCCGCGACCCTCTGGTGCGCGTGTGGGACGTCCGGCAGGGCCGGTGTGTCGGAAGCTTCCCTCATGGCGGTGCTGCCTCCTCCCACGTGACGTGCCTGCATCAGCCAGTGGGAGACCCCGACGCACCTATCGACAGCCTCACGCCATCACAGCCCCTATCGGCCTTCCACCCCGACATTGCCACTGGCAACTCTGATGGATCGGTGACACTCATCGACTCAAGGGCGGACGGTAGCAGGGCCAGGGGTGCTGGCCGCGACCCGCTGCTGTACCACCGGTCGGCGATTTTGACGATGAGCGCGGGCATCCCTGGGCAGCCCTTCCAGCTCATCACGGCCGACACCAGTGCATCGGTGGCCCTCTGGGACATTCGCAAGAAGAACACCGTCCTGCGTGCGTACCAACTGGGCACAGTGAGTAAAGGGCCCCCCGCTGCTCCGAACCTGACCCCTCCCACCCCCTCCCTGACCGGTCGCGAGCTCTCGCCCAGATCGATGCTCCCGCCCCTCGCGTCATCCACGGCCGACTCGCTCACTGCCGGCCCCAGCAGCACGAGCACGGCGTCTCATGCGGTGCTGTCGGCGGACATCCATCCCTTCCACTCGTCGATAGGTTGGAGCGGCAGCAAGGGAGATATGGTGATATCCTCGTCTGTCGGCGGCGACACTCTGCAGCGGTGGACGTTGCGTCGGAAGATGCGCGGCACGACGGTCAAGTGGCACCCCGTCAAGGCCGTCATGGGCGTGGTGGGGGAGGGCGGGGGACCGGGGGGCGGCGCACTCGTGTACCGCGCGGCCAAGGAGAAGATATCCCCAGACAGATGAGGGAATGGATGGATGGATGGATGGATGAAGACAATCTGCCTTTCTTGGTCAGTGGTACATGCAGACATACATACATACGTTCGTGTACGCAGCTAGCGGCAGTTTTGATACGTACTATTCACGTCGCTGGCTGCATGTCCTCCCTCCCTCCGCCTGAGCGGTGGTGTGTACATGGTGTGACATGACATGGTGAGGTTCCTTTGCTTTTTTCGTGCCGCCAGTCAGCCCAGCCACACGAGGGTCGGCTGGCGTGCGTCGCAGTAGTAGGGCCGTACATACGAACATACTACAGGGAGGGGAGGGAAGGCAGGGACGGAACAAAGAAGGATCGAGTGTACAGTACTTGTTGTTTGGTATAGGCAGGTTAGGTTTTGACGCTTTTGTGTCAGTCCACCACACGAGTGGGTTTCGCTGCATGAGTGGTGTGTGTTGACATACATGTACATGTGAATGTGAGTGTGATTGTGTCGATCCATCCACAAGACACTTTCCACGAGACGTACGTCCCCAACCAAGCCCTTCTTTTTGTGTCTGTTCGCTCCTCCCCGTGTGTGGCTGACGTACTGTACAGTACAGTCTTCACATGCTGACAAGGCGGCACTCACTCCTGATGAGATAGATGCATATGTCGATCTTGCAAGTGTGCAGCAGACGAACATTTCCTCCGGATGGTGAATGAACGGAGCGCATGCAGCAAAGCAAAGCAACGGAAGCAAAGCAGGCCAAGCCAGGCACGGACAGGGTTAAGTGAGGCGCTGCCAACCATGTCAGGATTGCCAACCATGCATGTCATGGCGGGAAAGCTTCCGACGCACAAGTACCCTTGACAGATCGAATGCAAGCAGAGATACGAACTGATTCGACGCATGTACTTACTGTACTCCAAGCTTGATGTGACATGACTGACAGGCTGAGCAAGAGTGTCAATCAATGGTCAATTGTCTTTCTTGCACACAGTAAGTGACATTTCTTTCTTTCTTTAGCAGAACAGACAGACAAGTCTGTCTGTTAATCAATGGACACACCACACCCAGCTGGGAACAGACCCTTTAGAAGAAGAGACAGACAGACGGACACTGCTCGGACTGTATATATATCACTGCACGGAACGGACACAAGCCACGTATATCTCCCTTGAATCGATGGGCATCGAAATGGACATTTCACTAGGAGGGGTGCGTTGCATGACAAAATCCATAAAAACGACAGCACCTTAAACCTTCCCTTCCCTGCAAACCGCCCCATATAGATCTATTTCATGCGGTGGCGCGTCGTTGTGGTTTTGTGGCGTCTCACTCTCCCCTGGTGGGGCTGATGGTTTCTCTGCCGCTCGACGCCCTCTGTCTGACGACCGGCATCTATGTGGACGGCCTGCCTCCCATGATGGTCTTGGTGCGCTCAATGCGCCTTCTCTCTTGATTCAGCATCAGGGAAGAAGCGACCTGCACGAGACACACACAACACGAACAGCCAGAAATGCAAAAAGGTGTTGAAGGTGGGTGTATGTCAACCCACCTTTTGGATGAGATGGTTATGAAACTCCAAGTGTGCCCTGGCTACCGCACACGACTGTGGCAGAGAGTCGCTGCGATGGAAATGGCCCACAGCCCGCTGCTCATCATCTCCCGGCGGAACGCTGGTCTCGTTGTCGCCGCCTTCGTCGTCTTCATTCTCCTCGGGTATGCTTGCGTGGACACTCCCCAAGCTCTTGCCTCCGCTCTTCTTCTGCTGTCGGTCCGGGCTCCCTCCAAACACAGAAGGAGTGGACAGCATCGAAGTGAACTGCCGAGACGAAGATTTCGGCATGACGGGAAGCGCGTGCGCCGGCTTGGTGTGCCTGGACCTCCCCAGTTTCCGGATCTCTCTTGACGTGCGATGGTAGGACAAAGCGGATGATCTCGACGACTGCAGAGAGATCGCGGAAATCTCGTCGGAGTACCGACGTGATAACGGGAAGCGATCGGTCTCCTCATCATTAGAGTCGGCATCGCTGTCGTCATCGCCCGGCACGACAGAGAAAATGTTCTCATCCACCAGCATCTTGCACAGATCCACCAGCCTGCAAAAGGGAAAGCTGGAGTGTTCGTTGCTTTTCCTGATGGTCGTTATGTGACTGACCTTCTCCATCTGATGTCCGAAGGGAAAGTGTGGTACAGGTCGCCAACGGTGAAGCAACTGGGCAACGCACTTGCCACCTGCCATCCAGCGAAGAGGAGACGGTTCAATTCTCCTCGAAGCCTCGAGCAGCCGTGTCTCCTACTTTGACGGCCATGATGGCGTCGGGCTCGAGGCTTTCCAGCTGAGACATGGCCTTGCCCATCTGCAGCAGGCAGGACATCATGATACAAATGCCTGCCTGTCCTGCATCCGTCCATTGGCGTCCACCAGCTCAGGCGCGATCGGGACAGAGTCGATGGTTTTGAGGATCACGAGCTGTCCGGGGGCGCTTGGCTTTGATGGGTCTTGGCGCACCTCCAACGCCCCCTCCTTCAGCAGCATCTCGACAGTCTTTTCCACAAACTTGGGCACACCGCCCGTCAGCAAGAAAAGATACGACTTGACGTCGTCTGGCACAGACCTGCATGAAACCACGAAAGACAAGAGCACGGGCACGGCACACCTGCTCGGACGAATGTGCGTCTGTGTGTGCGCGCGAAGCTCACTGTGGGTCGCAGCCGAGGGTGAAGGCGAACCACTCAGCGCAGTCATCTTGAGAAAGAGGGCCTGACGGACGCAGGAACATACATGAGGCACGACACTAAATGGATTGACCTTTCAAATATTGACGTTTGTCCCGCCTCACCGCTCTGGAAGAGAGCACTGCATGATTCAGCCGCCGCTACCACGTCGTGATTCTCGGGGTAGGCGATTGACGACGCGTCTCTGGCAGACGCCACACGGGACAAGCAATGAGTATGGCGCTGTATACCTTCAGACCAGCCTGGCTTGCCACCTGGAGATGAGAAGAAACACTAGTGGCTTCGGTGTGTCGTCCTCTGTCGCTGCGTCTGTGTCGGCTGCCTGGAGTCCCCCCCTCCCCCGCTGGTGTGCTTCGATGATCTGCCGACGCTTCGTGAGGGCCAGGTCAGCCAGGGCTTTCGCCACACGCCAAGACTCCCGATCCATCTGCGGTCACACGACGGAGAGTGCGGCGGTGCTGTGGTCCTCCGTCATCTCACCTGTCCAAAAACAGAGGTGCCCTGTCTCACATGCAGTGAGATGAACACCTGCCTGTCTCTCGCAAACGCCTCCAGGAAAGAATTGGCGATTGGCACGCACTCGTTGAATTGGTGGGCCCCACCGGCATCAGCACCCCCCGCCTCCCCAGAGAGCGACGGCCATTCTCCCCTTTTCCGCAGCGGCATCGTGGGCGACACCGTCGGCGATGATTCCCTCCTTGTCGCTCCCATTAGTGTCGGCGATTGGGCGTCGTCGGGGATGTGCAGCTCAGTCACAAACGGGTCCAAATATGGAATCTCCCTGCAGCCAGCCGCAGCCCGCCTTCCAGGCTGTAGCCTTCTTTGTGTGCTACGAGCAGCACTTACGGGTGTAGCGTTTCTGGTAGCACGCTTCTTATCGCTTCATATCGGGACATCATCCGCCCACCGCCGTCGGTGGGTGACAGGTGACGGAGCTCCTGAAGGCAAAGAGGTAGACATGGTCTAGTAACTTGTTTGCAATGCCTGTCTGTTTCACCTGCACAATCTGTGAGATGATTTGTCGCCAGGCCAACAGAGGGACGATGCCAAAGGACATCTGAGTGATCTCCGAGTCAAAGCACTCCGCATACGCCTGAAGCACTCACGCACCACGGACACACACACACACACACACACACACACACAGATCGAGCAAGCATACACACGTTGCTCGACTCACCGACCTGGTTGCATCCCGAAAAAACAGAGAATCCGTTTTCCTCGGCCACCTTGCGTGCGAAGAGAGAAAGCTCTGTTTTGCCGAAGCCCTCTTTCCCGGTAACGGCGATGACTCCACCGACACTGAGCAGCCCCTCCTCGATCCGCGAATGGTGGTGGTGGTGATCGCTGACACTCTTGCTTTTCCGACGCGACATCCGCCGGTGCATCGATGTGGCCACCGACGCGTCTGCGAAGATGTCGTCACCGTGGAGCCCTTCGCTACATGGCGCTAGGTTTGTGGTCGTGTTGCTGGTGCTGTTGGCGTGTCCGTCGTCCTTGAAAGACACCGAGATGGCTCTTTTAGAGACTTTGGGTGTCTTGATGGCGTCGAACAGCTCCTGGTTGGTCTCGTCCTTGCCCTCCATCGTGATGTCAGACGAACAACCTGCCATCACACGGAACAGCCGCTTGCGCTCCCGCCACTCCTCCCACAACTCCAAGTTGCCCTTCTGGCAGACAGGCAGGCAGACAGACAGACAGACAGACCTATCAAGTGGGAAAATGAAATGCCTCTCTTCTGTGATCGGTCGAATGATTGATTGATTGATCATACCGGTTGGTTCTGCTGTGCTTGTCTGAGTGCTCTCAGCTTGAGGCTGCCAGTGGGTCTGAAGACTTCAATGATGCCTCTCCTGCCCTTGACCTGGATGGCCTCCAACGACTCAAACTCCATATAGTTCTCACACCGATCATGCGTCGCCCTGCACACAAGCAAACGCACAATTCCTCACTCGCGCGGTGACTGTCTCTCAAACTGCCCGCTGAGCTGTGTGTCGCTCTGTTGCCTGCCTGTCGCAGTAGATCGCGCCTGCAGGCGCATGACACATGAGACGGGCAGCGATGTTGACGGTGTCGCCCAAAGCTGTGTACTCCTTCCTCAGGTGGCATCCCACAGTCTGAGGTCGACACAAGACGTGGCAACATCTCCTGTATGCGTGTCTTCCTCTCAGCCGTGTTTGTCTATGTATGCTGTCGCTGTCTCACCCCGCACCAGACACGCCCGGTGGCGAGGCCCAGCGAGCCCTCCAATCCCAAGTCTTTCAAACTGTCAAGTATACGCAGCGAAGCCAACAGACCTGCACACACAAGTATGCGAGCATGAATGCGTGGGAGCAAGAGCATCGCCTCCATTCATTGTTTGATGCAGCGCAGGGGACCTCTAATTGCATCATCGCTGTGGTGCAATGGAGGCAGCCCGAACAAAATCAGCAGCAAAACGCCCTTGTCGTCCTGAAGAAACTTGTTGACCGACCCCTCCTGCGTGTAGACGGACTTCTGCACGGTGGCCATGAGAGCCTGAGCCACCTCGGAACCCTCATGAGTCGACACGTCCAGGTCATGGATACACACAAACACGACAGTCAGCTGCCAACAACAGCAACAACACATTCCAACGTTAAACGGGTCGGCGGGCCGGATCTGTGTCTCACCATTCTCATTTCCTCAATGGATGCATCATGCCCTGACAAAAGACGGCGATATACAGCCTGGGGTATGTACCTTCAAACATAGCCGACAGAGAGCACACTGGTTTGCCGCCTCGCTGATGTATTTTGCCGAGCTCCACCCGACCTGCTCAGCAGCCTTGCATCGGCCTTGGTAAGATCAAGAGGCAGCAGCTTCGGCGGTGGGCTGACGGACGGCCCCTTGAGGCCATTAAAAAACGCAAAACCCTTCTGGCTGACTTCGATCCCACACTTTGTCCTGAAGCGGCTGTCGGGCACTGGAGTCGAGATGAGCTCGTCCCCCAGTATGTTGGTCACTTGCGGAGACAGCACGGTGTCTCCGATCTGATGAATCAAACGATGGAGAGAATCAGCCAGGCGAAGACGGAGTCAAAATAAACATGTCTGGCGTACATTGGCGAGCGGCTCAGCAATGCTGATTTGGTGGAGAGGCGGCCCAGCGAGGACGTACTCCCATCGGTCGATGACGCCCCCCCCCGACCTGCAGCATGGTCACCTCCCCCACCCCGACCCCGATGTGCAGCGACAGCGTCAGCCCCGAGTACTTGGTTTGGTAGCGATGCAGCCGTTTCTGCAGCTCCTGGCAGCACTGCAGCGCGTACCGCAAAGCCTGACGAACGTCGACCACGAAGTCTGCCGGCACTTGTCGGTACTTGGAGAACTGCCGGTCGTCCTGTTGGTGCTCGGGGATTTTGAAGATGACTGTGGATGAGGGCACCCTCTTACATGCATCCTTCTTCATCGCAGACGACTGCACCGACATGCCCGTCGGAGGCGATAGCACGCCGGGCGGCGGCGACGGCGGAAACAAGGGAGCGCTGTCAGGCGATGAGTTCCCGACGTTGTCGGTGTCTTCCCCGAACGAGGAATCCGACACCCTCGGTCGAAGCGGGTCGGCGCCATCGTCCCCCTCGTCCTCGTCCTGGGAGAAGCGAAAGCCGTAGTAGGCAAGGGTCCGTCGCTTGCCCCGGGTGCCACCGGTCAGCCCCCCGGAGGCAGATGAAACGGACGACAGCGACGTCGTTTTGGGCAGCGAGCAGATGCTCTGCCCGCCGATGGTCGAAGCGGACGGCCGCGACACACCGCCGGAAATGGATGGCTCAGAGCCGCGTGCGGATGTGGGGGTGAAGAACTCAGACCGGGGACGGGGAGGGAGGTAGGCATTGACTTGGGGTGGCGACTGCGGGTCGGATGTGCCGCCCTCATTGTCGGTGTCGTCGGCTGGCCACAAGATCGTCACGGCGTCACCTGCAGGGAGGGAAACACATATGACGGATGGACGGCCGATAGCACATGCATGTCTCTAAGGAATCTTCACCTGAAAACTTGAATATGTCCCCTCCGTAGTCGCACACTCGCTCGATCAAAAAGGTGAAGAAGCCGTTCAGCACCTACGTGAGACACGCAGGCAATGACACAGACAGACCGCCAGGCATCGAAAACAACCCCAGACAAACATATGGATGGCCAGACGCAACTCAGTCAGGCTGACCTCTCCCAGCAGTTCCGCCCCATTTGGGAATCTACTGAGCTCGTCCGTGAGTGTCGTGAAGCCGCTCGCATCCACAAAGGCCACTGCAGCCGGGAACCGATCGATAACGATGCCCGAACGGTCAGATATGGGGATCTCGTTGTCGGCTATCGCCTCCTGCAGACACAATGTTTGTATGGAACGAACGTGCGGGTGTAAGGTCGTGCGGAATGCACCTGGATGGTCCTGGGCACGTAGCTCATGAACTGGCCCAGCTTCTTGCCGTTCTTGAAGAGGCTCCTTTCATTGTCTGTGAGAAGCCTCTTGGCGTCAGCAATCCTGCGCTCCGAGCACTGCACGAGCCACCGCCAGTCGAGGGCCATCTTGTCCTCATGGCCGTTGCCCTCATCGTGGTGCTGGTCATGCTCGTGCTCCTGCTCGTGCTCGATGATGTCCTCCAACAAGGCCTCCCCGGCCTCAGAACAGTAGCTGGCAGGCACGGAAGCCGAGCTTTCGGGTGTTGGGTCGACGGACAGCAGCTGAGGGACGTTGAGGTGGGACACTCTGCCCGAGCTGCGCCGCTTGCGGGCTGAGGAGCCCAGGATGGTCTTGCGGCATGACTGGCTACTGGTGTTGTTGGGTGGCTCCGCCATGGATGGCGACAGCTCAGCCCGAGTGCACTTACTGTGTGCGTTGGGTACTCAAGCGTACCTTTGAGTGACGAACGGAAGGCAGCGGCCTGGGGCCGGGGGCCGAAAAAGAGATACACGGGGCTCTAAACCGCTGCGAACGAGTGACAACTCTCGCGGGCCGAACGTCGGTGCCATCAATGGCTTCAGTTTGGTCGTTCATTGCGTGGATCTGCGCCCCAATCGCCGCCACGCTGTGCATCCTGCTGCTGTCTGGCGTGGTGATGCTCGAGCGCCTCGGCCATGCACTCTGCGCGGCTCACATCTCCATCGGACTCGCCAGGATCAGGTCGGTATGCAGGCAAACAGAACAAACAGGACAGGCAGACGTGTGGATGTGTGCCATGCAGGGTGGTGACGTTCATCACTTTGGTGACGCTGGTGCTGTTTGCGTATGAGAGTGTCGACCTGCAGAAGATGAGGAGCACCCAGGCGGCGGCCTCGCCCTATCAGGTGCAGATGGAGGACAGATGGAAAATGAACCTCTGGAGGCACCAACGGAACTGGTCGGTACTGATTGATTACTGGTGTGTGCCCGCCTGCCATGATCGGTGTGTGTGTGTGTGTGTGTGTGCAGGTGGATCAGCCTCTTCAACATCACCTTGTGGATGTCAGCCAGCACCCATCGCACCTCTCTGCAGCCAGCGTGTGAGTGACGTGTGTGTGTTTGTGCCTACAGAGTGTGTTGGCGGGTCTCGCAGCTGATCGCCTATTACCGGAAGAGAATCGAGCAGCTCAAGATGAGCATCAAGAGCCAATAGATAGACGCACGGCGGCCAGGCAGGCAGTAGATGGATGGATGGACACAACAAGTGTACCGTTGTTTGTTCGTACGTGTGTGGGTCCCACTTTGTGGAGTGTGTGTGCATCTGTCTGCTCTGCGCCGTGCAGTCAGTGTATACAGACAGTAAGTACTCTTTATGTGTGTGTGTGTGTGTGGACACACAAGGAAGAGCTTTTTGGAGTATACCCAGGTCTCGAGGGATGCATAATTAATGACTGAGGGACGCATTTGTGTATGGAATCACCACCATCTCTCCAGCGCTTAATTTGTCGGTCGCACTCGCGAGCCACCCACCACACACCACCCACCGCATAGCACACACATCACATCCTCATTTCTCTTGTCTGCCGAAAACTCTCACTCAGTCACCGAATTGCACATCATGTGGGTGAACTGCTTCACTCCTTCTTGGCCTCTTGCTGCTGCTGCTGCTGCTGGCTTTCCTCCTTCTTGGGGACATTGACTTCGGTCAGCACATAGGCAATCACCACAATGATGATACCCAAAATCAACGCAACCTTGGCCACACAAAGACAGGCGCAGGTGTATTGCATCTCTCTCTCTCTCTCTCGGTGTGTGTGTGTGTGTGTGTGCGTGTGTCAGGTTTGTGTCTGTCGCGTCGCAGCTTTCTTTCGCGAGAGGCGAGAGCGGATGATCGACGACAACGAGTATGAGGAGGAAATGCTCATCAGCGGCTGGCTCAACGTCAAACCCTGCGGGGCAGGGCGGGCGCTGAGCTGAGGGCCGCGCAGCACGCACACACGACCCCCACACACACGACCCCCACACACATGACCCCCACACACACATCCATCCCTCCCTCCCTCCCTCCCTCCCTCCCTCTCTGTGTGTGTGTCACTCAGGCGAAGGCGAGGCCCGAAGGGCCGAGCCGAGACGAGCCAAGGCATGGGCAGGTGTGTGTGTCTGTGTCTGTGTGTCGTCCATGCGAAGGCGAGGCCCGAAGGGCCGAGCCTGAGCGCACTCTTTCTCTCTGTCTGTGTGTCTGTCGTGTGTGTGCATCGCATGGACACACCCCCTGCAATCATTCGATTGTCTCTCCCTCTCTCTCTCTCTCTGTGCGTGTGTGTGTGTGTGTGTGTCACTCAGGCGAAGGCGAGGCCCGAAGGGCCGAGCCGAGCGTGTCTGTCTGTCTGTCTGAGTCTGTGTGTGTTGTCTGTGTGTGTGTGCATCTGATGGACACCCCCTTGCACCCCCACTCGCCCCCACTCACCCCTGCACGCACTCACTCTCTCTCTGTGTCCACGGCTTTTCTGCCAACTTGGCGATGCCCTGGAAGGACGAGTATTGACTGTAGAGCTTTGTCTTAAAGAGGTCTGTATGCCAACGCCCATCGCCTCGCCATTCGGCATTTCCACCAAATTGCACCTCTTACCACTTCACCGCACTCACCCCATCGATACCCCCCCTGCCGCATACCCACTTCTCACACACGCGAGGCCATCCGCTCAAGCTCACCACACAGACAGCCCATCACACGAGCAACCATTCCCCGCCCTCCCCGCCCCCCTGCAATGGGAAGAAGCCCTCAAAGCAGAGACTATAGGGTTTAGGGTGTGGGGTTTCTGCGAGCTTAGACGTGCACAAAGGGGAAAGCTGAAGAGGCTCACTCAAAGGCATACAGACAGACGGGGCCGAACGTCGGTGCCATCAATGGCTTCGGTGTGGTCGTTCATCGCGTGGATCTGCGCCCCAATCGCCGCCACGCTGTGCATCCTGCTGCTGTCTGGCGTGGTGATGCTCGAGCGCCTCGGCCAGGCCATGCACTCTGCGCGGCTCACATCTCCATCGGACTCGCCAGGATCAGGTCGGTATGCAGGCAAACAGAACAAACAGGACAGGCAGATGCGACAGAATCGATTGTGTGTGGATTGTTTGTGCAGGGTGGTGACGTTCATCACTTTGGTGACGCTGGTGCTGTTTGCGTATGAGAGTGTCGACCTGCAGAAGATGAGGAGCACCCAGGCGGCGACCTCGCCCTATCAGGTGCAGATGGAGGACAGATGGAAAATGAACCTCTGGAGGCACCAACGGAACTGGTACGGAAGGAAGCACTCTGCTGCTATTGGTTGATTACTGGTGTGTGCCCGCCTGCCATGATCGGTGTGTGTGTGTGTGCGTGTGTGTGTGCAGGTGGATCAGCCTCTCTAACATCACCTTGTGGATGTCAGCCAGCACCCGTCTCACCTCTCTGCAGCGTGTGAGTGACGTGTGTGTGTTTGTGCCTACAGAGTGTGTTGGCGTGTCTCGCAGCTGATCGCCTATTACCGGAAGAGAATCGAGCAGCTCAAGATGAGCATCAAGAGCCAATAGATAGACGCACGGCGGCCAGGCAGGCAGTAGATGGATGGATGGACACAACAAGTGTACCTGCCTTTGTTTGTACGTGTGTGGGTCCCACTTTGTGGAGTGTGTGTGCATCTGTCTGCACTGTGCAGTCAGTGTATACAGACAGTAAGTACTCTTTATGTGTGTGTGTGTGTGGACACACAAGGAAGAGCTTTTTGGAGTATACCCAGGTCTCGAGGGATGCATAATTAATGACTGAGGGACGCATTTGTGTATGGAATCACCACCATCTCTCCAGCGCTTACTTTGTCGGTCGCACTCGCGAGCCACCCACCACACACCACCCACCGCATAGCACACACATCACATCCTCATTTCTCTTGTCTGCCGAAAACTCTCACTCAGTCACCGAATTGCACATCATGTGGGTGAACTGCTTCACTCCTTCTTGGCCTCTTGCTGCTGCTGCTGCTGCTGCTGCTGGCTTTCCTCCTTCTTGGGGACATTGACTTTGGTCAGCACATAGGCAATCACCACAATGATGATACCCAAAATCAACGCAACCTTGGCCACACAAAGACAGGCGCAGGTGTATTGCATCTCTCTCTCTCTCTCTCTGTGTGTGTGTGTGTGTGTGTGTCTTCTCGCTCAGTCGATCACGCACTGACTTTGAGGTCGACTGCCGGTCCGGGTTTCTCGCCGAAGATGGTGACGGCGTAGATGAAGACGAAGAGGGTCGCCACGGTGTCGGCGATGCCCTTCCACACCGCATCCAGCCGCTTCAGCAGCAGACAGTTCACCGACGTGCGCAGCGCATACCTGCAGACATCCGTCCAGCCATGCATCCATCCATCCTCCAACCAATATTCACGGTCAGGGAGACATCTGTGTGTCTCTGCGCCTTTATCCATCAACCAGCCCACCATGCGGTGAGGAAAATCACGCGGCCGCTCCAGCCGCACGGCTCCACACCGCCGCAGTCAATTCCTGCATGGCATGAAGACACACGTGTAATGCACTACAATGCATTCAGTACATGTCTCCACGTCTCAATCCGGTCGCAAGTCCATACCTCCGAAGACGCCTTTTGACCAGAGGTCGCCCTTCCAGAACTGGATGAGTGTCATGACCATGCTGGCGGCCGCCGTTGACCACATCGTCTGCGCGAGCTGTATGTAGAATGGACGCTTGGTCGTCTTAAATAGGTAGTCAGACAGCACACCACCTGGCGTCGTCAGCAACACCTACAAGCCGACACGACACACGCAGTGCCCCTACTCTCTCGGCCCCTTCACTACGTCGACCTACGCACTCTGAGTCCCAGCAGGGAAATGCCGATCAGCTGCGCCTGTGCGGCCTTGTCCTGTGCGGCCTTGCCCAGTTTGGCCACCGAGAGTTTGTCGACCAGAAAGTCTAACTGCACATAGGAATAAAGGATGGTCGACGTGGCCACCAGCAGCAGCCATTGGAGGCCGCTCAGGGGGCGGCCCAGCCAGAAGCGGCACAGCAGGGCCGACAGGATCATCTTTGACTGAGAGGCGATTTGCACGAGTGTGGGGTCGGTGTAGCTTAAGGGCGATGAGCTGCAGACAGTCACCCACACCGTACAAAAAGGCCGGAGGGGACATCAGAAGCACTTCCTGACACACAGTAGGTACAAATGTCGGGAAGTCATTTGGGCGCCCCTCTCCCTCTCTGTCTCTGTGCGTGGGTGTGGCTGCATGCCTTGGGGCTGAAGCATGCATTGAGTCCCTGCACGCCGTCGGCGGCGAGGGAGACGAAGATCATCAGGGTGACATTGAATAGGGCCGCACACGACATGACAACACCTGCGCCATACAATACCCACACGTCCATGCCTTTAATTGTTGTGGTCGGTGCAGTGCGTCCTGGGTTTAGTGGTGTGAAGATGCAATGCACACCATCGAAGAAAGGCTGGCCCTTCTTGCCGGTTTGGGGGATGACCTTGGCCACCCGCCTACGTTGGGGGTGAATCTGCAAGCAGGGAACCGTGCAGTGCACACATTGGGTGGGCAACGGTCGATCTTGTCGGTAGGTAAGTCCTTAAGGGCTTACGATTGAATATTGACGCAGACGAAGAAGATGAGCAGCTGCGATGGATGGAATGGAATGGAGAGGAGACACGCACTTAGCCGTCAGATTCACATATCCCTCCTGTCTGTCTGATAGCCTACCTACCTGCACGAGCACGCCTGCCCACGACTGCAGAAATTGCACCACCTTCGGATCACTGCACACACACATCCACGCATTGATTACCGCCTCCCTCACTGCCCTCCCCAAGTCCATTGCCTACACTTCTTTGAGCTCATTGATGGCTGCCGTGTTGAGAATGGTGTGCCGGCGGGCATGCTCCGCCAGCTGGGTCACCGTCAGACGAGGAGCAGAACCAACTTCAGCCATGCACACCGACAGAGAGACACCAAATGACGCAACACCAACCAATCGTCAGCCATTGACAAGAGAGTACCTGTGTGTCTGGTGTGGATCTCGATTGCCTCCTCTGTCGCCGCATACACACACTCCTTCTCATCTTACATTCACGTCGATGGCGTGCGATCGCCGCATGCGCTGCCTCCATCTGCGTACTGTAATATGTACCTCAGGAACAGCCTCGAGTCCCCCCTTTGCAATGGCTGTCTCCTCGTCAATCTCGGGCGGCTCGGGCCCTGAATGCGTCAACACCTGAACACATACACATGTACAGACGCACCGGTGCAGGAGTCTTTGCACTGCCCTGCCCCAGCCCCTGCCCAGCCCACCCGAAACACCGACGATTTGCGGCCCGACGTGTCTTTGTCTGCACAGTGCAGACAGGCAGATACAAACACAGAGACATCATCTCGATGAATGGCTTGGTTGAGCCTCTCCGCCTCCATCCATCAGATGCTCACGAAGGAGAGGCGCCTCCTCTGTCGTCATTGCAAATCGCTAACAGCCCGCCCACGACGAGGCAAAAAGGGGGGTCAACGAAAGGCAGTGGACGGATGGATGCAATGCAATGCACTATGCAGTTAATGCGATGATATGCACAAGGACGAAAGGGCAAAGGACCAACGAGCGACAGGAAAGTTGACTCTCCTCCTCCTCCCTGCACGCCTAGCTCGCAGCCCCGAGGCGCGATGTTTTTCGCCCCTCTTGCGCAGAAGATCTTGCCCTACGCAGAGATGCAGCAGAGCAGCGGCACCATGTGGAATGACAGCAGCCAGGTGTGGCATTCGACTTTCAGCAGCGACGCCTCCCATCCCTTCGCCTCAGGTGTGCGGGCTGCTGTCATGCATGCCAGTAGGTGTCCATCTCTCTCTCTCTGTGTGTGTGTGTCCCACGCAGGTTTCGCCTCACCTGATCTGGCGCCCGACACGCAAACCTCCACTCCTGGTGCTGGAGCAGGTAGCCGTAGAGTAGATCTCAGCCGGCGCGCCGTCCCGCAGCAGTCGCTGGACTCGGGCAGCCTCGCTGGCGACATCACCAATGGGCGACGTGCGGTGAGCAGTTGATGTGAATGGATGAGGACGCGGGAGAGGTGGTTAATGCAAGCCGTCTGTACTGTGCTGGCTGGTCAGGATCTGAATCGTCTTCCTGTTGAGGACGCCGCCGAAGACGACCCTCTGCTCATGGTAGCTAGGGGAGGAGAGAGGACACAGCACAGCACACTGGCCGGCTGTTCATTTCTCTCCCTCGTTGACTCTGCTTGCAGCAAAACCAGGAGTGCGAGCCGGTCTTGGAGGCCGCCGCACAGAGTAAGGACAACACGGCACAAAGGCAGCCGGCCATGTGTACTTAGCGGTCGAGTGATCTGTTCTTTCTCTCTGTTGTGTGTATGTCAGCTGTGGCGTGCTGCGGCATGGTGTTCGACATGGGCATTCGCTCATGCGAGGGGTTGCTCAAGGGCCAGCTGCACTCACTCCGCGAGCAGAACAAACAGGCGGCTGCAGCGGCGGCAGCGCGCCGGGGGTCAGCAGCCTCGGGCACTGGCAACGTGGCCCTGCAGACGATCGGGGGCTACACCCAGGCAGCGGAGGCAGTGTGGAAGTGAGGAGCGACGGATGAGCCAGCCGCCGAGTGGAGTGAGTGAGGGATTTTGGTGTCGTGTCGTGTGATGTCGTGTGGTGCATGTGATGTACCTACCACTAGAGGGAGGAACGGAGGGGGCAGTGAGTGCATTGAGGTGTGCGCATCATGTCATGATGTGTGTCGTGTCCATGTTTATGCATTTATTACGAGTGCATGTGGCCAGGCCATTTATTGTGTGCGCATGTGAGAGAATGCATAGCATGGATCGATGGATGCATCATCGACACAGAGGGAGGGGATGGATGGCACGGTATCGTCTTGGGTGCGTCGAGGACGGGCAGGTGACAGCGACTAGTGGCTCTCAACAGCCATTGCGCCACTGTCATCTCTGCCCGTGATTGACGGACCCAAGACCCGACGAGCCTGCCTCTCCTGAGGGTTTTGGTCCTCCCACGAATCTAATGAATTCAGTGATTTGTGCGTATGCATCATCGCATCAATCAATTACTACGGCTGCACTTTTCTTATATATGCTGTGGACCGGACGGACCCACGGACGGTGTGTGTTTTGTTGGGCTTTCAAAGTTCAATTCTTGACACGCAGCACAGCACACCATACCATACACACGCACATCCGTGCAGAAGGGTCCGTCAGTCGACCTGTACGATCATCGCATACACAATCATACACATGCACAACATCACTCACGTGTGAATGAAAACACATCGCTGCATACCTACAGCGTGGTGTCAAGGGAGGGAGGGGTGACTGCTCGGCTCGGCGCATCAATCAATCAGACACACACAACACAGACGCAGCGCAAAGCTAGCTACCATACTTGCCTCATGCCTCATGGATGTCCACGAATCCACGGCCATCCATTACATGCAGATAGATACCTGTCCAGTCCTGCCGGACGTGATGCCGCCGACCCGACAGAGACAGCCGACGGCTACACGTTGCAGGCAGACGCAGGAGAGGCATCCATCAGACATGAAGGGCAAGTGCATGGTGTGCATCTCGTCTCTTTCTATCTACTGTCATGATATCATATTGAGTGGAACAGATGGATGGTCCCCACCCCATGCCCCGCTCTCTCACGCAGAGACCGTTGTTTGTCGAGCATTCGGCACTCATGGACCACACACCATAAGTGCATTGCACTGCATCCAATAGTCTCTCCTCCCACACACAGCTCATTGCTCATGTTGCTGCACGCGTCGTGGTCTGTTTTTGGGAGCGTACAGGAAGGACAGCTGACAGCGACGCAATGGCTGTTGAGAGCCATCAGTCGCTGTCACCTGCCCATCCTCAACGCACCCAGCACCATACCGTCTCGAGCGCGATGCAGCGCACCATTATTTGTAGTTGTTGAAAAAGGATAGTCGACGGACGGCATGGCATCATCAATCATCACATTTGTCAGTCAGTCAGATAAGGTAAGGTAAGGTAAGGTAAGGTAAGGACACGCACGATACACACACAGGTCAGGTCACGTATGCATTGATTACACCGGGCAGACAGGCAGGCAGAACAAAAGAAGGAAAAGAAAGAGAGCGACACACGGACACACACACACACACACACACACACAGAGAGAGAGAGGGGCACACGAAAACCGGCCAGACACAGACAGACCACAGGCGGGCAGGCGACGCTGCCCCACGCCACGCACCCCTTCCCCCACCGACCCCCATGTCCATGGAATGTAATGCGATGTGCTGGCTGGGCGTGTCATACAATGAGATGGGATGAGATGTGACCCCTCCCTCCCACATCAGATGTTGTCAATGTCCAGGTCGTCGTCCTCCACTTCCTCCTCCTCCTCCTCGGTGGCCTTTTGGCCGTTGAGCTGGTCGGCGGGTGCGGTGCCGTTGGGCTGCTGGCTGGCGGTGGGCTCCATGCTCGCGTGGCGGCTCACTGCAGGGGTCGACTCCTCCCCATCCTGATGCACAGACAGACAGACAAGCATGGTGAGGGAGGGAGGGAGGGAGGTGATGCTGGGTTGTGTGGGTACCGTGTCGTGCTCACCTCTTCCTCTTCCTCCTCTTCTTCCTCCTCCTCTTCGCCCTCCTCCTCGTCAGCCTCCCTGCACACAGAAAGGGGAGGGCCATCGTGTCCAAACTGTGATCCGACCGACGTGTGGGGAGTGGAGTGGAGTGCAGTGCAGTGATCCTTACTGCAGCCAGTTGAGGAAGAACTCGCCCGCCTTTTTGCACTCCAGGTGGTGAGACGCCTCGTCAACGTCACCCTCGCCGTAGTACTTCATGAACCCACCTATCAACGCACACACACACACAGAGAGAGAGGGAGAGGGAGCATCCGTCTGCTGCTGGTGGCTGTGTGTGTACGTGTGTGGCCTGCAAGGCTCACCTTCGTCGACAAGCTCGGCGTCGTATAGTTGTTTGAGTATGAGGTTGAAGTCGGCGGGTTTCTGCTCGGTGCCCGAGAGGCAAGAGGGCGCCTTGGACGCCACGTACAGCTCCAGCGGACTCAGGATGTCCCCAACCTTCATCGTCTGATCTATCACCTGCACACACACACACACACACACACGTGTCATACACACACGACACGTGGTGGGCAGGATGGTGGGTCCCTTCCTGGTTGGTATTTTGTGTACCTTTTTGACGAACGGGAAACGCTTTTTGAGTGAGTTGGAGCAGAGGGAGGACTCGTCAACGCCAAACAACACACACAGCACCACGTACAGCCGCATCTACGTGAGGGACACGCACACACACAGATGGATGTATGTGTTGCCGGCCTCTGGACACGTCTGTGCCGGGTGCGTGTGTGTGGCCACCCATCCCATGCGATGATGGATGCGCACCTGTCCGTCGAAGTCCTGCGACACCTGCAGAAGGCGGACCTCGGAGAAGAAGTCGGTGGGCGTCATGTCGGGGGTGCTCGACACAAACTTGTGCAGACGCTCGATCACGTCAACTGTCACATAGATACACACACAGGCCCACACAGCGTGTGGATTCGATTCGCAGAGATGGATGGGATGGGATGGGATGGGATGCGTGTGTCTTGTTTTGTCTGCGGGCACATATATACGTATTTCAGGGCTGTCGTGGGTGAGCGCCTCCTTGGCCATGACGCCCTCATCGTCAACCTTCTTGCTCTTCTTCTTCTTCTGCACACGCACCGCACACAACACACCACCCAATGACACCATCTCACAGTCATCCACCCCCTCTCCTCACCGACCCACACTCACTCACCTCAGTGGTGCCAGCGGTGCCGTTGGTGTGTGCCGTGGGGGTGTCCTTTGGCGAAGACCCGTCGTCTTTCTCCTCAGCGTCAGCCAACTCCTCGTCGCCCTCGACGCCGTTCCTGTCGTCGCTGTCGCCGTCGCCCTCGCCGTTTCCGTCGCCGTTGGCCGAGTCGCCCTTTTTGGACTTGGACGAGGCCTTCTTCTTCTTGCCCGTGGCCTTGTCTTTGTCCTTGTCCTTGTCCTTGTCGGTCTTGTCTTTGTCGGCCTTGTCTTTCTTCTTCTTCTTGGGGGCTTCGTCGACCTCGTCCAGCTGGTGGACAACGAACCGACACACAGAACAGAGCAGAGAGGTGTGGTATGGGTATGGGTATTTGGGGGTCGGGTGGGGTGGGTGAGGGCTTACGTCCTCGTCATCGTTGCCGCCATCGTGTGTCTTGGCGCGACGGGCAGCCTGACGCTCCTCCTTGCTCTTCTTCCTGCACATTCAGACAGACAGACAGACAACACACCAACACACCCGTCCATGTGGGGGCACGGCACGCCTTGTCGTGTGTGCGTCAAGCGTCAAGGTGTGTGCGTCAACACGTACGTCTTTTTGCCGGTGGTGGATTCGGATCCGTCGGGTGGGTTCTTGAGTATGAATGTGGCGAGCTTGTGTACGTTGTCGCCGTCGCCCGCCGCGCCGCACGCGTTGCACTTGTAGGTGATGGTGCCCTTCTTGATGGACAAATCGATCTCGGGCAGGTGGCAGTTGGGGCACAACACGTAAAGCTGGATGAACCTGACACACGACACGCCGAGAGAGGAGTGGAAAAGGGTGGGTGTCGTGGGTGTCTGGTGGGGGGATGGATGCTCGCCCGCTGACTTGACTTACTTGTCCAGGAGTTCCTGCAGGACTTTGGCGTCGTGCTGGCCGTTGACGATGGCCTTCTCCTCCTTGTCACTAAAGTTGGACAGCGCACCCAGCTCACAACCGAAGAACTTGGTCGGATCTACAGACACACCACACCACACCACACCACACCAACCACAACTCCATTTGCCCCTTGCCTGCCTGCCTCCCTGTGTGTCAAATCAACGTGTGTGAGTGTGTGTGGGACAGGACAGAGCTCTGCTCACTCACATCCGGGGGGTCGTTTGAGTGCTCGTGCGATGTCGGCCATGTTGACTATGTTGGTCTTGATGCCGTTGCCGCGGCCCTCCGTCTTGGCCATCAGCTTGGGCATCTTGTAACGGTAGTTGGGGTCGTCAATCGTGCCTACACCGTCACACAAAACAACACCACACACCAAGCACACCAAACACACCAGTACACAACGAATCAATATTTGTTTTTAAAACCAACAGAAGGCGAGGCTCCCTCCGGTCCTACTTACTGGGTATGTTGAGCATCGCCATTGTCGCTCGCTATCGCTACCGTCGTCGGTGTCAGAGTCGGTACTCGTCCGTGTCCGTCTTATCCGAAACGGAAAGGTGTGACAGCAGTCGAGCCGCCTGTCCCGCGCGCAGTGGGCATACACCAATCCCGAGACACCAGCCGTGTGCGTCAGGTGCGCTCCGCCGTGGTCGTCAGAGGCCTGACAGCAGTCGCCAGGACGGCCGTGGCTGTTGCTGTTGGTGTCACACCGTCGTGTGGTAGGGGGAGGGGAAGGAACCGACTGCGGGAAACTGTCGGAGGGACGGAATCGTGTCGGTGGGAGCGGTGGTGAGCAGCAGCAGCTTGGTGGAGCCTCTGGCCATGCAGTGTCGTGGGACTCGTCAGGCATCCAACGCAGAGGGAACCGCGAGAGCACTCGAGGGGCGCCGGAGCCGAGAAACGAATCAACAGGGGATTTCCAATGACACGAAGAGCGTCTAAAACTCTCCGGAAAGCTACACGACAAACTCAGAACGGCGGGCAGTACTGCTTCGCGGAGCTTTGCGCACTAACTCCATCATTTGAGCGCGCGCCAAGCGATCTCTCGCGCAGTTGATGCCCAGATCCCCGCTACAATAGCAGCGCGGTCCCTTATCCACTGGCAAACACTGCACTATCTCCCTCGTGCTCAGCAGGGACCCGGTTTCGTGGCTTCTATGAAGATGAGCTGCTGCATCTTCCATAAGCCACTCTCGCCCCCTGCCCTCAGTGACTCACAGTCGGCCGGCCATGTTGGACGATGAGGTACATCGCAGGCTGATTGGCAGCGAGCGAGAGGTGTGACTCCTCTCTTTTCTCTCCCTCCCTTCTCTCTCTGCAGTGCGACTGTCTTGGTGGCCTTGTGTCTTTTGCATCCACCCACTGTTGCCAGCCTGAGCTGCCCTCCATCCATCCTCCTCATCCCCACTCGACTGCGAGCATCTCTCTGCCGACCACTCAGCAGACAGCTTAGCATCACTGAGTGCTGCCCAGCCCGCTCTTTGTCGTCTGTCACTCACTCGTGCCTGCCTCTCGGTCTGCTGGTGGTCTGCTTGCTCGCGTACATCCATCCATCCATCTGCCCCTGACAAGGATGATGAAGGTCCTTAGCGTGCTGCTGTGTGTTTTCGGCATCACTCTGGCGTCGGCTGATCCACAGCCGCCTGCTGTTGCTGCTGCTGCTGGTGCCGCACCACCCTCTGTGCTGGCGAGGCGATTGCGAGGCGGGACAGCTGATGATCCCAACGAAATCACAACTGAAGGTACGCACACACCCATTCACTCAGTCAGTCAGTCAGTCATCCACACGTCTGCACTCTCGGACTCGGGCTGGCAATACTTCCTGTGTGTGTATATTATGTGTGTGCAGGTGTCCTGCCTGAGGCTGTTGTGCGTACGGCGGTGGAAACAGCAGACGACAAGACGGAGCAGTCGTCGACAGCTGAGGCACCAGGTATGTGTGCTGCCTGTTCCTCCTGACGCACGCACAACCTGTGAGTGGATGTCTGTTGTGTGTTAACGACTGACTGCAGTCGTTGAGCCAGAGGTTAAGACTATCAGCGCGTCATCTGGACCCGACGCCGCCGCCGCCGATCGGAGGAGACTTCTTGGTGAATTCCTTGGAAAGGTCAAACAGTTCGTTGGAAGTGTCAAAAAGGGCATTGCCAATGTTGCGTACGCTGCTGGGCTCAACAACGTCGGGAATCATATGTGGAACAAGGGCCACAAGCTTCACAGTCATGCCGGCAAGCTTTGCGGCGGTCCCTGTTATTGACAAAGGAGGGACAAACAGAGGGGCCGGGGACAGACAGGGCTGGGCTGGGCTGGGCTGGGCAGATCTGTCTGTCTGTCTGTCTGTCTGCATGTCGTGCGTGCGCTGCATGCTGCGCTGGCCGTGAGTGAGTGCCGTGTTGATATGAATCACTCAGCCAGCCAGCCAGCCAGCCAGCCAGGCAGTCAGATGTGTGCATGTGTAAGTGAGTGAGTAATTGTTTGTGTAAGTACTTACCTTAGTGTGTAGATTATTGAGTGTGTGGACTGTGTGTGCGGCACTCACTGAGCACACACACACACACATTCCATCGCCCGCCTTTTGTCAGCGGTGTCCGCCAGCCGTGAGGCAGACAGGACAGGAGCCAGATCGATCGAGAACACTCGATTAGTCGATGCTGGCGGGCGGGCGTGCGTGGCGACGTGGGTGTGGGGTGGTGTGGGCGCTAAGCGAGCCGTTGTTTGTGTACGCTAGCGATGCATGGGGTCGTGTGAGTCATGAGTGAGCCGTACGTGGGAGCACTCACTCACTCACTCGTGTGTGCGTGTGCGTGCTTCTTTGCCATACGTCTGTCGGGTCTGTACATCATGTGTATGTGCTGTCCGAGAAGCTGTATGTCATGCCTGCCGTGCACGAGTGAGTCGTGCCTCTCTCCCTCTCTCCCTCTCTGCCTCTGTGTCTGTCTCTCTGTCTGTCTGTCTGTCTGTGGCACAAGCATCGCTTTGAGTGCTTGGCCTTTTCGTCTTGTGTGTATACGTGTCTGTGCGCCTAGCTAGCTACGTACATAGTGTGTCGATTTGGTTGGTGTGTGTGGAAAGACACGTACAGTACGTCGAATGAATGGATGATGAGACTCACGCGTGACCGACAAAGGATGCAAAATAAATGACGCTTAGATCGATAAATCGATGTGTTGTCAATTGATTGGTCCATTCATGCCAATAGATATCCGTCTGCAGAACCACACGACAATTGATGCAGACACTGCCCTAGAACAGATCTGATGCCATGTCCACTGCAAATGGCCGGCAACAAGTGGCTAAGCGACAAGCAGTGAGAGCGCCCGCTGCCGCGCAGACAGACGTCTGAGCTCCTCGACGGCCACTGAGGCCTGCTTGGCCAGGATCAGAGAGAGGGAGGGGGAGTCGCCGAAGCAAGCGGCACAGGGTCAAAAAAGGACGCCGCCCCTGACGAAAGCAGCCCCATGCACCGCAACACAACCAGTACATAAGTACCTGCAGAAGCCATCGTAGATGTGGAGTGTTTTTGTCGTGCCTTCCAGTGAGAGAGCGGTTTCACGGAATGTCTTAAGTCTGCGAGCTAAGCGGAAGAAAGTCGTCGGGGAGGGGATCCGGTGAGAGGACACACAAGATCTATGCAATGACGAATGCAGCGCATTTGTTCGTTCTCTGTTGGCGTGGTGCCTGTTGGTTCGTTGGGCGTGCAGACGGGTCGCACCGCTCGAAGACCAGCCCTGCCCTCGGTGACTCACAGTCGGCCGGCCATGTTGGACGATGAGGTACATCGCAGGCTGATTGGCAGCGAGCGAGAGGTGCGACTCCTCTCTTTTCTCTCCCTCCCTTCTCTCTCTGCAGTGCGACTGTCTTGGTGGCCTTGTGTCTTTTGCAACGACCCACTGTTGCCAGCCTGAGCTGCCCTCCATCCATCCTCCTCATCCCTACTCGACTGCAAGCATCTCTCTGCCGACCACTTATCGCAGACAGCTTAAGCATCACTGAGTGCTGCCCAGCCCGCTCTTTGTTGTCTGTCACTCACTCGTGCCTGCCTCTCGGTCTGCTGCTGGTCTGCTTGCTCGCGTATATCCATCCATCTGCTCCTGACAAGGATGATGAAGGTCCTTAGCGTGCTGCTGTGTGTTGTCGGCATCACTCTGGCGTCGGCTGATCCACAGCCGCCTGCTGTTGCTGCTGCTGCTGGTGCCGCACCCTCTGTGCTGGCGAGGCGATTGCGAGGCGGGACAGCTGATGGTGCCAACGAAATCACAACTGAAGGTACGCACACACCCACTCACTCACTCAGTCAGTCATCCACACGTCTGCACTCTCGCACTCAGGCTGGCAATACATACTTCCTGTGTGTGTATATTATGTGTGTGCAGGTGTCCTGCCTGAGACTGTTGTGCGTACGGCGGTGGAAACAGCAGACGACAAGACGGAGCAGTCGTCGACAGCTGAGGCACCAGGTATGTGTGCTGCCTGTTCCTCCTGACGCACACACAACCTGTGAGTGGATGTCTGTTGTGTGTTAACGACTGACTGCAGTCGTTGAGCCAGAGGTCAAGACAGCTTCTGAGTTCCGCGAGCTGATAGGCGGGGCGCCTGTGGACCTTGAGTCGGCCCTCACGGCCATCCGGACCGACGACCGCAGCCGCATGACCGTCGACAGACTCCGCAAGGAGCGTATCAGCGCGTCATCTGGACCCGACGCCGCCGCCGCCGATCGGAGGAGACTTATTATTGACTTTCTCTTTGGAAAGGCCAAACGGGCCGTTGGAAAGGCCAAACGGTTCGTTGGAAAGGTCAAACGGGACATGGCCAATGTTGCCTGGAATTCTGGGGCCTACAATTTGTCGGGTTTTCTTGACAAGGGTGCCGACAAGCTTGACAAACATGCCGACAAGCTTTGCGGCGGTCCCTGTTGATTGACGAAGGAGGGACAGACAGAGGGGCCGGGGACAGACAGGGCTGGGCTGTGCTGGGCAGATCTGTCTGTCTGCATGTCGTGCGTGCGTGCGCTGCATGCTGCGCTGGCCGTGAGTGAGTGCCGTGTTGATATGAATCACTCAGCCAGCCAGCCAGCCAGGCAGTCAGTCAGTCCGTCAGTCAGATGTGTGCATGTGTAGGTGGGTGAGTAATTGTTCGTGTAAGTACTTACCCTAGTGTGTAGATTATTGAGTGTGTGGACTGTGTGTGCGGCACTCACTGAGCACACACACACACACACACACATTCCATCGCCCGCCTTTTGTCAACGGTGTCCGTCAGCCGTGAGGCAGACAGGACAGGAGCCAGATCGATCGAGGACACTCGATTAGTCGATGCTTGCGGGCGTGCGTGCGTGCGTGGCGACGTGGGTGTGGGGTGGTGTGGGCGCTAAGCGAGGCGTTGTTTGTGTACGCGAGCGATGCATGGTCGGTCGTGTGAGTCAAGAGTGAGCCGTACGTGGGAGCACTCACTCACTCACTCGTGTGTGCGTGTGCGTGCTTCTTTGCCATACGTCTGTCGGCTCTGTACATCATGTGTATGTGCTGTTCGAGAAGCTGTATGTCATGCCTGCCGTGCATGAGTTAGTCGTGTGTGTGTGCCTCTCTAGCCGTGTGTGTGTGCCTCTCTCCCTCTCTCCCTCTCTGCCTCTGTGTCTGCCTCTGTGTCTGTCTCTGTCTGCCTGCCTGTCTGTCTGTTCATGGCACAAGCATCGCTTTGAGTGCTTGGCCTTTTCGTCTTGTGTGTATATATGTGTGTGCGCCTAGCTAGCTACGTACAGAGTGTGTCGATTTGGTTGGTGTGTGTGGAAAGACACGTACAGTACGTCGAATGAATGGATGATGAGACTCATGCGTGACCGACAAAGGATGCAAAATAATGACGCTTCAGTACACAGATCGATACGGCACCACGTCTGGGACGAGAGGCAAGGCTCGTCGTGGCGACGTCGAAGCTGCATTCGGCCCGGTGAGGACGTCACGGCAACACACAACAGAACACAGCCGCAACCCCGACCATCCGGCCGTCCGTGGTGCCTTTTCGACCCCCCGCCCAGTGGACAGCCTTTGTCACGCTACGAGGAGAAGTGGGAGGAGCATCAGCGACAGAGGCAGCAGCTCGATGCGTTTCTTCGCCAGTTCCAGCAGTTGGACCCACGCCAGCTTGCCTCAATGAGCACAACAACCACTTCTACTGCAACCAACCACCACCAGCACTACACCTATGCCATTCGCACGCGCAGACACGCACACCTTTTTGTTGAGGGATTACAAATCTATGTAGGTAACACCGTCCATCCCATGCATCACCGGCCATTTGTCTGTGTGGTATGTACAGGCAGTCACCACGGAGACACAGCAGGTAGCGTGACGGTCGCGCATACGTACACGAACATCGGTCATGCCATGCATGGCACGATGCATGATGCAGGCAGGGACGTTCCATGCAGTGCATTCACACACACAGCCTGGCTGTTTGTCAGCGGAGCGGTGCATGTGCCACGGGAGGGAGGGAGGGAAGGCAGGAAGCAAGAAGGGCTTTGGTTTGCCGGCTGGCTAGATGAGACATGTCAGACACGCACGACATGAATCGATCCATTGATGGATATGTACGTATGATAGATATAAATATGACAACTTGAAGGAAGGAACAACGCAAAACCAGCCAACCAACCAGCCAGCCAGCCAGCCGACACTCCAGCCAAACAAGCGGGCAGACAGGACATGACAGGCGGGACTCCTCGACTGACTGACTGATCTGCCTCCCTCAACAAACAAACAGACAAGACATGAATGTGTATAGATATTATATATACATACAGAGCGACATGCACACAACACGCAACAACACAGACACAGTGAATGCAATTACGCCACGCTCAGCTCACTTGCCAGGACGGATCCATCCATCGGCCGACCGGTGTCTGAATTACAAAAAACACCAGTCGATGCGATGCGATGCGGTGCGCACACACACTGCATCCACCCCTCCAACCAGCCAGCAAATTACATACCCAACGGTATATAGATACGGTGAGAGCATGTATGTATCGTGTGCAGACAGCAATCCAGAAAAAGTTCTGTCCCTCTGTCCGTCTGTCGGTCAATCTGGTTGTCTGTTTGCCTGGAAGGCACATCCATGGCATGGCATGCACACGCAGCCCCCCTCAATTGCACGCACACACGTAGTCGTCTC